ATTTATGAATTACTTAAATTAAATTTTAATATATTATACTGTAACAACCATGTCGATTTTTTACTTTAGTTAATTATGCGTTAGTATATGCACCGGCTATTATTGGTGATACACAAAAATGTCACAGCGTAAAACACAATTTATTTGAAATGTCAAAAAGAGCGATTACAATGGTGTGTAGATAATTTTTTTTTTTTTTAGAAAGTGAACAAACTAATAAAATGGATTTTATATTGAACACAGATAGTACTTTAAAAAATTGATTCCGTACTTCCCAGTAGTATTCGGTTAACAAGTTAGGATGACAGCAAAATAAAAAAATCCGAAGAAATAGAGATACTTTTAGTAACAAAATTCTGATAAGTTATTTGTTAAATTATTTTTTAATGTGATAGTGTATTAAGTTTAAAGTTGATATTTACTATTATTCTTGGCCGGTATGAGTGATTAAGCTAATAATTACGTATTATAATATAAGCATATAACATAAGTGTCATAACCAATTTTTTTATATTCTAAATATATTATTTTTTTTATTTAATACTTATATTTTTTTATCTTTCGTATGATTTGTTAAAAAAGTACTGGTTTTCCTTCATTTTCTTTGAAAGATGGAATTTAGATTAGTTATTTACAACGTAAATAACATATGTTTGCACTTAATACAACTAGCCATACGGTAAATAAAAATTAGTAGAATTGACTTTTCAATGCAGAAAAAATACTTATTATTATTTCCTTTAGTGTTTCACTAGATTATGGTTTTTCCGGAAATTGAACACTAGATTTTTATCAAGTTTATGCAAGAAGAAATAATTATTTGAATTCACAATAATTATTTTTGTAGTATACTGCTATAGTTAAATTTTCAGATAATGGATAGGTACTATCTGGTTAGAGGTCGGTTAAAGTGTTAACATTTGTGACTCCTCCTGCTTGGCACAGAACATTCATGAGCCATCTGTTGATGACTTTTAGTTCTTATTGTATCTGCTTATTGCAAGCTATTTGTGCTTAATAATATAATTATGCGATTTTGTTGCTATTTCATAGTTTCGTATACAGAATGGTTAAATAAAATAATATATTTAAGTGAATTTAAATTTATATTAAAATCAAACTATTATTTTAAGTAGCCAAGGTGATAATCTTGTAGTTTATCACTTCAGTTTTCATCGTATTATTATTATCATGATTCAAGTTAGGATTGTGATTATTTTTTTTTTTAATAAATATATTAAGGCGGTTTACAAATTTATATAATATCTTTAATAGCTAACTACATTTTGTATTATGTTTTTAAGGATTTAATTACAAACGAACGTTTTCATAGAAATGCATTTCATCCAAAGTGTATTGATTTAATGCAAAACTATGGTAAATAAAAACGACAAAAGATTTAAGTTCAATAATTAAAACAGTTTGGTCGTAAGATTTATTGTGTTTGTTATAAATTAAAGTAAAGATTAAATCGGGAATAATTTTATTTTTGATAAAAAAACGTCTTTCTTAGTTTTTGTATTAGTTTTAATTTTAAATAATATAGTATATTATTTTAAGAATATGTGTAATTTTAGCCACAGTTTATTGAGAAAAAAGCTTATAATAGATTTTTATTTTCTAAAATGACTTAAAACGTGTTTGAAACCATGGCATTATGAATTTGTCGTTTAATTTATACTATATTACTGTGATTGTAATAATAAAGAAAACAACCTATGGAAATAATGCATCTGCGAACTTCAATATTATTCAGAATAAAATATGTTTATCATAACCAACTAGATCTTGTAAACTTTTAATTTTTTAATTTATACAATTACTTGTATATTTATTTTTATTTGGTATCTCAAATCGAGTATATGTCAAATAATTTTAAAAAATAAACCCACGTTACGTTTTATCTACATCATCGATTCGAATTCATATGTTAATTACAGTTCTACGAGTTTGTTAGATCATTTTTATCGCAATAAAAATTTTTCCATTATGGTTAAAAATTATAACACTATATTAGAACGTTAAACCGATTTGTTCTTCGATTGTAAGTTGTTATGTAGGTTCATTTTATTATGCACTTGTGTGTGCACTATGCAACAATAATTGACAAACCACGGTCTTATAATATTATGTGATACCGCCCCGATAATGACGATACCACGAGATTGCATAGAATCATATTTGGTGAGTATTTTAGGTCAAAGATAAATAAAAACCTTAGGGAAACTTTTGTATTTTGATCGTTTGTAATGGACCTTCAGATCGGGGAAGGGGGTTTATTATGGTCCGGTATATTATATGTTGTATTTATCGACAAATTTAATAGACGTAGTGTAAAATGTGATTTTCTAACTTATTGTACATCATTATGAGATGGAGACCCTGTAAATTTTGTTCTTTGATCGTTTAAAAGTTCTGGACGCTTAAATACACTATTATAAAACGACAATGTTATTATAACATCATGTAGACCCATCAATGTTGCTATATTATGTCTACCGTCAGCGGTCACCACATAATGAAAGCATTAAGACATTTATTAGTACAACTCATAGATCTTTATAAATTATTTTGTTCATCTAACAATACTGATCGATAAAATAAAATATATCGTTATAGTTTGCATATGACAACTGTTTCTTCTCCGAAGTAAATGAAAATCACTTGTTTCATATGCATAATAAAAAATAACGCGTATACCCGAATTCATCAATATAACCAACATTTTCGAGTAAACAAAAGCATTTAATTTGAGTTGTCAACTACAGACAAATATTTATAAAATAAAACCGGAATAGTATTATGTGCTCTGCTATTTGTTATATTATACTGTCACAGGAAAACCATTTCCTGGTTATTTTTGAAAAATAAAATATGCATTTGATACAACGTATTTTATATAAAACATTTATTTTAGATAATATTAAAGATCAGTGTATTTGTACAGTCAAATTATGCTAAATTTAAATGGAAAGGTGATTCGAACTATTCGAAGTAGTTTTACGTATCTATAATGTTATGGACTTCGTGTATAGAGAAAAAGGTCTGAAGTTTGGAGTAGTTAGAATGAAATCATTGCTATTTCCGTGGAAGAAACATATTTTGTATAATTGAAAAATTTATCTGATAGCTGGTATATTATGTCAGCACGCAGTCGTGTATTTTGTATGTACGTTGTTACGCAGAATAAAATATTGCATGTACCTTAATTATAATATTAACAGTTACACATATTTTGGACAATGTAACCAGATAACCATGAACAGAATTTATATTCAAAAGAAATATTTAGAATCTGTGAATTAATTTTTTTAAAGATCGTTGATAATTTGTTTATTTAATCAAACGATTATCTCTAGCTATCCTTTTAATACTAAAGGAAGCTAAGATTTTTAAACATTTTATCATGTTTAATTAATCAAAATTATAAGAATTATGCGAATAACTAACAGTAAAAAAATTGAATCAACAGTTTAGAATGTTTAAGAATTTTAATTTAACATTTTCAAGAAATCTTCTTTAACCTTGCAACTCGAAGAAGGCATTTTGGCATGGTACCCAGCTTTACTTGACTTTACAAATTATAGTAGATGCATATAATATGACTATATGAGTTTAGAATGTCAAATAAAAGTAAACATTAACTTGGCTTTAAAATATATGTATGTGTGTGTTTTGAAATGATAATTATGATTAAGGTTATATCTAGACAATTAGCATTATATAAGTATGTTATAGAAAATAATATTTTTTTTTTTTTGATACATTTTTTTAAAATTTTTTTGTTTACTCATAATTAATGTTAATCATATACGGTATTTAAAACGTTGAAACTTTTTTATCTAACTCATACATCTATTGGAATATATTAAATTTAAATTTAAACATCATAAACATTGTTCAATAAAAAATAATTTTATTACATTTATTGAAACTGCATATTGCTTAACTATTTAAATTATAAATTTAAACAACTTTATTGATTCTTTATGTATAAAAAAGGTTATTTTTTTATAAAATGTTTAGTGAGAATAAAAGAATCAAAGTTATGTATGCGTAAAAATAAAAAAATTGCATTTTACTTTCATCATATATAGCTGCATACCATGTTAAAATTAAGTTGACTTCATAAACAAATAGTTTTTAACTAAAACTATGCTAGAAGTATTTGATATTATTTTATATGTTATGTTTTATTTTTTATTTACTTGATATTAAATTGTTGCATATTATGTATGATATGTATGAGTATAATATTAATTAAATTCTATACTTATTTCATATAAATTATAATATATTCATAGTTTCCTTCTATAATTTTATTGTCGCAATTTATTATACTTTATTGAAATGCATTTATTTTTCACGAACATTTTACAACTTTATAGTATTTAAAATTGTTTAAATTATTTTAAAATAATATTTTGTCTCTTTTGAATGTATAAACCTATCTACTATATGTATATTTTGACTTAACACTATAATTAGGTGACTGTAGTAAATTGGGTTTATTCATTGCAGAAGAATTCGTACTTTTAAAAGATATTTTATTTAAAATTTGGAATCGATCATTTTTTTCATTATTATTATTAATTTTAATTGAGAATATGTATGATATTATATTTAGTGTATTTATTTATGTTTAAAATCTCAAAGATTATTTTATCATTTAAAATTTTAAGATTCTAACTATTGAAACACAAATCTTTGATATTTCAACAATTTTAAAAGATTCAATCAATATAACGAGTAAAAAATGTTTTCATGCTTATAAGAGTTATATATATATATATATATATATATATATATTCCACGGACGAATCAACACGTTCGATGTATTAAAAAATATTAAAACCGTATCTTCTCTTAATTAGGTATTTTAAATTTTAACGTATCACGACAACCCGAAGATTCATGGTTATAATATTATAATACTCTATAGTCTATCATGCAGATAGTACGCGAGGCAAATATAGATATATAAAAGTGTTACTACTCACTCGGTATCGACGAGGTCGTAATTTATTGCTGTTTCAAAATGTCACAATGCAATAATCACGATAGTAAGAGATCAGGGGAAAAAGTTAGGTACTATGAAAAAAAAACGATTTAAAATTACGATAATGATATTTTGAAAAGCTCACGGGTATGGTGCGTGCGCAAATATAAACACGAAACACGACTGCCGACACTCGGGATGAAATACGAAAACGAATCGTCAAAAACACGAAAAACAATTGAATTGAATCGATGTATGGGCAAGGCGGAAGGATCAGTATTAAATTATATTACAATATTATACGTCTATGACAACAATAATCCTCGAAACGTCAACGCGCTGTACGGCAGTCGCGGGGCACTATTCGCGTATGCTTGCGTATGTATCTTTTACCGAAACGCGAAAAAGCGACTCGCACACAGACGGTGAACGCGCGACTGACATGCGTGGGGTGTTCCGGATTCGTTGCTGGCGAAACCCGTGGAGGTGGTCCGTCGTTGTACTATCGTACACACACGTACGCAATATGTTTAGCTCCGTATATTGCGATTATCAAGCCTCCCCCTCTAAGAAATTAAAAGATCCCGCTGTTAATGAGTTTTATAATTTTCTGTTAAAGAATTTATTTATTTTTCTAATTTTAGAAACATTTATGAATTGGATTCGGTTTTGTTCTAATTTTGGACTTATTACACTTTTTATCTTCTGGTCAACCTGTCTAATCCTGGAAATAAAAAGTTTTTATTTTATGAAGGTAGATATTTATTGTTAGATGTCTTTATAGTTTAGATTTTTCATTGTTTTAGAAATATTAATTATGTTGTTTGATCATTATTAGCTGTTATAAATCTCGTCAATAGGTTTACCTGTAACGAAAGAAACATTAATACGAGTATGTAGGTAAAACGTGGTTAAATTAGGTATTTATTTTCTGATTTGAATTTAAAATTTGATTAAAATCAATGTATATATGATTTTATATGATTTTACGTACAGCCATGTACGCAATATTTAATATACGTATGTTTAATCGTAATTATTGATCTAGGTTTTTCTCAATTTTCGCTCGATCAAGATATCATAACATATGTTATGTAGATTTAATAGAAATAATCTAGTCGAACTTACAAATATAGAAGTCTTCCTAGGTTCTTTCTACCCTTCTCCACTTCTTATTATAATAGACAAAAAATGAAAATTTTGATACATTTGTATTCAGGACTAGTAAGTTATACATACATTACACACGCATGACGCGTTATATATTGACCATAGATTTTGAATATAAATTCACGGATTAATAAAATTCATATTACGTATAAATTACATTTGAATTTGATTCCAGGGATGCTTCATACCATTTAACAGATAAAATTGATTTAATATTATAAAATCATAATATTTGTACATACAACATACAGTAATATTACTGTAATTAATACTTTTCTAGAAAGAAAAGAGGCTAGAAATATTTTTATTCAATCTAATCCATGAAAATTACGTATGGTAATATTTTTTTTTTCCAATTACAAATCAGTAAATGAAAAATAAACAAATAAATATAAATTAGTATTTATTATTTTCATTAGATTTTACTCAAGTATTAAAAACAATTTTTATAGAAAAATAGAATTCAAAACTAATTTTTTTTTTTTTTTTTTTTTTTAATGATGAAAAAATCTATTGTACATGGAAATTTCTTGCAATTTTAACTCAATCACAAAGTATTTAGTAAATACGTAGATTTTTTTTTTTTTTTTTGAACATACCACGCGTAATGTAGTGCATTTGTTTATTATTCGATAGGGTTTTGCTTTAAAAAAAAAATAATAAGAGCTTGAGGCCATTAAATTGGTAGCCGACTGTCAGCAGACTGATAATTACAACAGCAAATAAAAATAATAATAATTAATATAAGTAAAAAAAATCACTCCAATCATCGACATATGACAACGACCGGTTTTGTTATGTTATGCTTTTATATTTGCATAATAAAATTATAATACTATTAAAAAATACGTGCGGGTTTTGCACAGGTATTTATCTCCATAACCGTTTTCCTAGGCAAATCACGTTTCTGACGATTGTCCGTGGACCGACCCACAAAATAAATATATATTATATGTATTATTTAATATATGTTTATTAGTTTATTACCATAAAATAATAATATCGTGGTAACTAAAATCAAGAATCGCTACGGCACACGCCCAATTGATATAACGTGTTTTCCAGGAGATTTTTGTTTGGTCGTGTACTATGACGTAGTGGACAAACAATGTTTACGAGTACGTCTCCTCTCCTCGTAGGGTAAACAGTTAATATTATTACGGTTGATCATGTTATATTATGATTTTTACATTAGTCATACTTTGTTTTAAAGCGTGAGCGAGTCTTAAAAATAATTCGCTTATAGTCCCTATTAGCGCGTAGGCTAAAAACGAGATTTCTTTTCATAAAATGTCACATTTTGTTTCGTTTCAAATGAAACGCCTACTAGGGGTAAAAAAAAATACATTATTTGCCAAATTCAATTTATTATATTTTATTTCGGATGTGTCATCATGTAGTGAAGTACAAATGTATTATACTTAAACGTGCATTTTTATGCATTGATATTAAATCTGGTATAAAATGAAATATCAAGAATTGTTTGGTCAAAGTTTAAGTAATTTATTTATATTTATAAATATGAAACTTGTTTATGTATAATTCACGAAGTTTAACTACACGAAAATCTTAAACAATTAAATTGTTAACTATCGTTATAGTATGTAAGCCATTTGTAGTTATAATAATTTATTACAATAATAGCTTTTATATAAATATTTGTCAAAAGAATATTAATAATGATAAAAAAAAAGTTTATTTTAATAAAAATTATTAAATTCTATAATTAGGTGTTTAGTTTTCACAGTTTAGAGCTGTGCTACTATGATTTGTATTCGGACAATTATAAAATATTCGACCCTCCTCACCACTCCATCAGACTATTACTAATATATGTATTATAATAAAATTTAAGCTATTTATTTATAAAATAAATTAATATTATAAACATAAACATAAAATTAAAAAATTGATATTAAAATATCGATGTGGTAAAAATACGTCACTTACATTGAAATTTTTCTTTATTGAATGGAAGTAGACTTTTAAAAGTTGATATTTTCACTTTTTTCTATGTTGAGAATTTTATTTTCAAATGATAATATTGACTAAGTTGTTTAATTGTTTCTTGGATATTATAAGTCGTAAATACATTTTGGTTAATTTAAATTTGCTAAACAAACGTTTTCTATTCTTCAGTTGCAACAGTTACAAAAATAACAACATACCTATAGTTTATTTGTAATTATCAAATTTAGATTTGTTAATGTGAGTTTAAAATTTTTAATTAATTTTAATTAATTTAATTGAAAATGTGGTGATTTTAAACAGAGATATTCTGAGTGTGCCCAATTTTTAATTTTTATCTTTTTTTAAGTTCGTGTGGTCTGAATTTTGCAGTCATGTCGACAAATTATATTGAATAGCCCAAATGCGTCCTTAGTCCATAGACCATACGAAGAAAATTTTATACATCGAAGACAATATAAATCAACTTCAAAATAGTAATATACCAATACTAAATTTTGTCAAAAGAACGGTATTTAAACACCAGCCTATAAAGATAAACTAAAAAAATTTAATACAATTTTTCTTGAAAAAAAAAAAAAAACATAAAATAATAAAATAATTAGCACGCTCATCCAAATTCAAGGGCGTAAGCTAAAATAAAAGATTATCATAAATAAGAAACAAGAAATATTTTTGAGGTGTACCTAACCTAAGTTGACCCCCTTGTAGTGTACTTCGGGTAACTCTAATGAATTGAGACACACTAGGGCTATGTCAAAAATATGATTTTTTTTCTTGGGATGTATTTGGGTGCACATTATTTCGCATGCACTCGGAACATTAAAAAAAGAAAAAAAGGGTTATTTCGGGACGAATTCGGGAAACATCGACCCTATATTTAGTATTTAAAATATTATGTTACATTATTAATAACTAACTATATTATTGCTAAGTTAGAAGTGTGTTTCTTAATGTTTTATTTGGCATTATAGATTAGGGAATATAATTTTTCTTGGAAATTGTTGACAATCAAATTAAATTTTAATTTGAATTCAGTGATTAAATTATCAAGAAAATTAAAGTATTCGGTTGTAGTATATAGTTGATCTGCAGAATTATTTTCATTCGAAAAGTTTTTACTTTTCTCCATTAATTTTGCTTCTTGTTATTTGTTTATTTTCAGATATTAGACCCAAATTTGTATAAGTATTAATTTTTGTATTTTAATTAATTGTTTTTTACCATTATTATGAATTTTTTACTTTGTTATCGGAATAAACATATATTACATATAATATGTACAACATTGATAAATTGGACATGTTAATTGATTTCTAGCCATTGCTCTATACATTTTATACTCATTGTGTGAAACGAAACTTAAAAATTATTTCAATATAAAGACATGTTTTTTTAAATGGTATTTTGCTACTCTCCTAATATTTATGAATAGTGATCATGCTCTCTTTTTCTTCTCCATACAATATGACTGCGATTTTACATATTAATATTATATTTTATTATTATTTAACTTAATATTCCACTTTAAAAAATAAAAAATATGTTTGTAAATTTAAATGAGTATTAAATGGTTTTGAGACATTATCTAGAGAAATACCATTTTTTATCATTTTTGTAATCGGTGATTTTTCTCTAAGATATCTCAAAAACATAAAAAAATTACTTTGCGTAATTGCGTTTCTGTGTTATATTGTAATGTGGTTGAAAAAAAAAAACAGCGCACTGATATTCTTTTAGACATGAATACATGAATGCGTTTTATTAAATTTGCTTGACAACTTGTTGATTAACCTTTTATACGCAAGTATTGAAACATATCAATTAATAAATCAAACTTTGAAGATAAACATTACGTCAAGTATAAATTAGAATATATTTATTAAGTATTAATTTATTGCTTTACATTTTTGTAAACTGCATAATTCAAGAATGTTCATATCATATTTTTATCGATTGTTATTTTATTTTAATCTAAATTACCTTAAGAAAAAAGAGGGTCAGTTTGTAAATGGTTATGTTATTCAAAGAACTGAGAATTATTTTTAAAAAAAAACTTGTCATTCACATATTTGTATGTATACGTTACGTCATAGTTAATATAGATTATTTCGAGGTCAAACTAGTAATAATAACTATAATGACGTATGTTTTTTTTAATTTTATTATTTTCTGATGACCATAATGTATAGTTATTAAAAAAAACTTGTGATCTTGAGTAAGATATTATTAGTTCCCCGAGGATGTACAACGAATTTTCAATTTTGAATTAATGGAGAAAAT